ATTCAATGCATTCATTGATTATAGGGAGTATTCATTGTGATTTTAGTCTTAAAGTTCAGTCACATTAGCAGAATTTCAGCAAAATTTTGCGGACAAAGTAGGTCCATTGTCAATAGTAGTTACTCAGAGGTCACTTCCAAACCAGCTAACTTTATATTGGTAAACAGCAAATTTGCTTGTTAAAAGTTCAACAAACAGTAACAAAATTTAAATAAAAAAATGATTTTGAGCAGATAGAACCAATCAGGGTTTTTATTATGCATCGTCTGCAGTCATTATATCCACCTTTTTCTTTAAAAATGGGCGCGGCCATTTGTAAATTCTATGGGTCTGGCTTACGGTCTCATCTGCGTCCACTCCGTCCAGCTATTTTTAGCTGAACAAAACAGTTCGTTTTGCTGCTTGATATTGAAAGTCGGTGTGTCGTATCATATTATTTTAATGTATTATCTTAATTATGAACACACTGGTTTGTAGTGCAAACAGTTTTACCATTTACTGCATGTTGCTATTCTTCTCGTTAGTTACCTATAGCGGCTAATGAACCGGAAGTCTCACCCATAGGCTTACTTCCACGTTGAAGAAAAAGGTGGATAGCATGTGTTAGTGTCCAGTTTACTTGCCATGTGGCGTTTTATATCTTTGTTTAACTGGCTGTTGGCCCATTGAGATTCATGAGTGTCCTTTTATATTCATCCAGCTCATCTCATCATCTTTTCCTAACACTTTTCAAAATCCCAAACTAAGTTACCCACCCTATACTTCCAAAATCTAGTAAGCACCCTCTGACTCTGGTAGAGTCACACTCAATCTAATACCTCATACTGTCCTAGTTCTCTGCTCCCAGTGGACACAAAGGGACACATGTGACTTTGCACTAATGACCACAAGAGCCTCTCCTTAAAGAGACACCCAATAATTGCTTCAGGTAGGTGACCCTCAACTAGGGTCAAGGGATGCCTAGTTTTAATGACAACTTTCGTACTCCCAACCTTGCTCTCTCTGCCCTGTAGACCAATTTTAGTTTTTGGCTGAGAGACAACTAGAGCGAATAATAGAGACTCCTCAGCAAAGTCTGGAGAATCACCTTTAGTAATGGGCCCGAGGGGACACCTTTGAAGTTAAAGAACACCCAGACCACAATATACTGGCCTATCCTATTGTCGCATTGGGAATCAATGGCGATTATTTAATTCAACCAGCAATTAATTTGTTAAGGCCAGTCTGAGAGCTAAGTGCAACTTAACTCCATTGCAGAAGGAGGGCGTTCCTTGACTGCCTGAAGGCTGGTTGTAAGTAGGTAGGTCTGCAGTAAGATTAGATCATTTTAATGTGCGACTACCTTTCACATTCAGGATGATTTTATGGATGTTGAAATTCTATTGCTCATGTCTACCTTTCTGATTTGTAATGTTTGTATTTTAATAGTCATTATGTTTAGAATAAACTGCTGCTTTTTAAAAGGTTGCATTAATTTTGAAGACAAAATAGACCATTAAATTAATTAGACCATTAACTTTTTTTTGCATTCCATTGCACTGGATATTTATTAAATCA